CACTGCTTCAACCTCCCTCCTCTTCCAAGCTGACCCACCCCTTCCTGCAGGGCCAGCACTCTCCACCAGAAAGCCTTCCCTGGGTGCTTCTGCCCACATGAGCTCCACCTTCTCCAGGGTATCCTGGCACACATCCCCAGCACCTTTCATTTGGTTGGGTTGTGCCCGTGTGTGGTTACTCAGCTCTCTAAGCCAGTCTCTTTACCCAAACAATGCTTGAGTTCTCTAAAGGGAGCAAGTGGATCTCCTTCTCTCCAGCCTACTCTCACTGCCCTCTGCAGGTCTGGGCAGAGCAGTCAATCCATAGAGACCATAGAGAAGTTTAATCACAGGTATGGCCTCTGTTAGGGAAGTCCCATGCAGATCACAGCTCTGTTTTCAGCTTGTTCTCAATATAACCTTGAAGAACCAGCTGCTTCTTACCCTCCTAGCCCTAAGACCAGGCCATCATCCACCTTTCTGGCTATCAACCATCTTCTATATCCTGCCTTCACAAGGGTCCCTCTCTCCTCAAGGCTGCTACCCCCATCACAGATCATCACACAAAACTTGGATGGCTTTCTGTTTTCTCAAATGTAGAACTCCCCAGGCCTGGAAGACATTTAACCATCTGTTGTCATTTGCTGTTCTGGGCTTTTCAATTGGTGTGATTTTGGTCTCTCTAACAGTAGATTCTTCCCAGCCTGTCCTTTGCTGCTTCCAGTGGGAGATTAGAAGGGCTAGATGAATGGAAGAATGACTGAGTGATGATGCCTCCAAGTCAAGCCATGCAGCCTTGGGAAGCTTAACTGTGATATGTGTCCTAAACTGCTTATTCTCATCCTGAGTTCTGAACTCCTTGTGGCAGATAGTCTGCCTAGGCCCCTGCAGCTTCCCATCCTTATGACCCAGACGAATGAATACAGCCTTCACCCCCAACATACACCAAAGTCAAATTCACCTTTGGTGTCTAGAAACTCCATCCTGAGGACCTATTGTGTGCCCATGCCTGCCGAGAGGGCTGTAGAGGAGGAGGGATCTGATTACTGGGTTCCTGCCCTCGACCAGTTTACAATCTGGAGAGAAAAATTCACAGGCCGGAGAGACAAAGCAGGTCTGAGGATGTGTGGCCACAGCCAGGGATGTGGAATGTGTTTCAGTGGGTGCCAGAAGGAAGAGAGTGATGGTGGTTCAGAGTGAAGCTGAACACAAAGAAGGCTTCTCCTCTCCTTGAAGAAGAGCAAAGGGAAGTGAGGAGCAGGAGGCAATGGCAAGGCCTGCATAATTACACCACCTGAGCCAAGATCCGCATCGTAGGGGATCCTGACACCCCCAAAAATGAATCAGCAACAAAATGTAAACCCCAAGCACAGAGAGAAAATGAGAAGCAATTGTTTCCAGTTCCCACTTCCATTTCCCAGCCTTCTCCCTCTCAGTGGATTCAATAATTGTGGCCATGAAGTGGCACTTGGAGAAAAAGTTTTAAATCTGTTTAAATGTCACAGTAATACTTTGCCCCCATC